AAAGCACACGACCTCTGGGGAAGAAGTGAAGTTAGTAACAATATTAATTTATCGTCAATGAGAATAATCGTTAAGGGGGAGATTTTGACCAGTTTACTCTTTAAAAAATGTTTAATATCTATTTTGGAGAATCTGAAACAGAAACTCTTCTTCTGATCAATTAATTAATTAATCGTTTCCTGGTTGGTCCTCAGCCTGCAGAAACAGCTGTATGATGGCGTCTGTGGTGATGTCACTGTAATGTCATCAGACAACAAACAGTGTTCATTACAAACTGGAGGGTCCGACTGTTTACCTAATGAAAGACACTGCCTCAGTGCATTGTGGGAAATGTAGCCAGGATATCTCCACACCTGCTGCTCAGATTGATTCTGTGTGAGTGTAAAGTTAGTACAGTTATCAATAACCAATAATCAACAATGAAAAGAGCAGAAAAACAAAAAAGTATAAAAAACAACAGTTCACTTCAGCTGATTCAGCTCTTCACACAGCACCAGACTTCATTCATTCATTCGTTCATTCATTCATTCATTCATTGAGATTGTCACCTTTTGATTTATATTTACATAAAATCCGTCAATAAATTCCTCACCTGTGAATGTGGGATCTTCGGTTGCTAACGAGCGTCTAAATGAGACTACAAAGGTTGTCGTTGACATTAAAACACGGAGACTGATCTACTCACTAAATGAGCTAAACTAAACACAGCCGAGTAAAGCTATGCTAAAAGAGGCTAAAGCAAAATAAAAATATTCAAAAAGTGAATCAGTGAAGATTATGAATAAAACATAAACATTTGTTCAGGATTATTTCCTGTAATAATCCAGTGGAATAATCTCATTGGCTGTTTGTGGAAGGAAGTTCAGGGTTGGACTACAGAAATACATCATCACTACACTCTGTTGTACCTTTAAACCATCAAAATGAGTTCATGTATTATTCACTTTTCTAACTGCAGACCTTTGGACGTCACTTCCTTCATGCTGTCAGATAAAATATTGATTGTTTTTTTATTTGTTATAAAACAGCCAGAATGTCCTCACAAAGATAGAAGCACCCACTGATGTCCTGTAGTGTGATACGGCAACGAATCGCTGCTAAATCTGAATGTGTGTGTGAGATAATGAACAAATGAGGATTCCCTGTGTGTGTGTGTGTGTGTGTGTGTGTGTGTGTGTGTGTAATCCCTCCTGTTATTTCAGTCTGGAGGACAGCCCCTGATCCCACTCTGTGTGTGTGTGTGTGTGTGTGTGTGTTTATCCAGCACAGTGAGGACTGATGTTAAAGGTCAGAGGTCACACAGACAGACAGCTGGAGTCAGTCTGTGTCTGAGGATGTCGAGTTTTAACGTTTTATTTCCTGCAAAAAGTAACTAAGTACTGGTCATCCTATATTTCTGTATGCAGTGAAATGTGATTGAAAACGGGAGGAAATTATTGATCCAGTTTACAAACTCATCAGGAACTGATCAGATACCATCAATGATCTTCAAATCGGTTCAGAACCCGTTAATATGTCGACCAGTACGCTGATTAGACTGCTGACAGAGAAACAACAAACAGATCAATAAACAGTAAATAATCAATAAACACAGCTGAAACCTTCAATAACTGTTTAACAAAAACAATATTTTTAAAAAGTCTTTTTAAAATTAATGTAATGGATATTTTTTTGTGTTATTAACTTTTTCAAAATTCAATAACATCTTAGATAGATAGATAATGTTTAAAACTCTAATATTATTCCATATACAGACTTTTTCTGCACTAATTTCAAATGAAACAGCTTCTGTTTGGACTGTTAGTCATACATTTACATTTTGAATAAAATAAAGATTTTTATGATAAAGTAACATTTCCTAATTTCACATTGGTTTTATTGCATGATACAGAAAGTTTACCGGCCGACCAACGAGTTGAAAGAAGCTACTTTTATCAATATTTGAGACTTTGGGTTATAACCTGTACTGGTGAAGAACTGAAACAACTTATCAGTTTCTTGTGTAACAGAACATTAGTGAAATATCTCTTTAAATACTTCAGTGAGTATTTTATGTCAGTTTATACTAAAACTTAATGTAAAGTGTTAACTGTAAATATTTAGTTTTAAGTTGTTGTATATATTATTTATTTTGAACTTCAGTTTTTATTATTTTGTAGTTTGAACAATTAAAATTGTTTATATCTGCAATATATATATATAACTGCAATAAAATGTTTTTATATTGTTTTATATTATCTTATATTGTGTTATATATATATGTCAGCAGAATAAGACATTATAAACCTTTATACCATCGTCTGGGTGAATACTGGACTCTGTTTGGTTCCTGATGATGGACACCTCGTCAGCCATTATCCCTTACAGACATATAAGTATATATATAAATATACATAAATATATACAGTGAAACTGAAAATTTTTTTAACAATCTACAACCTTCAGATGAGTTTAGGAAAAAACACTGTGTTCGATCAGCACATTTCATTCAGATTAAAGTCCTCCAGAGGACCCAGACTGGACCCTGTGGGGGGACGGTTCTGGCCCATGAGCCGAATGTTTAACACCGCTGGTTTTAAATCTTCAACATGACGCTGAGAGATTGAACTGTTAGATTCACTGTTAATGGATGAAGCGCAACGTTAGCACAAATCTCAGTGCTTGCATTAGCAACCTATGCTAACTAGCTTCCACTTCAGTATCCTGATGTTTAATAATAATTATAATATAATAATATCTAATAATTAATGATAATTTAGTTTTCTTCTTCAGAAAAACTTCAATCTTTAAGCTACATTATTGATATATTGATAATACATATAATTTAATATTTTCAGTGGCAACTATTTAATTTTCAGGCACCAAATAATGAAAAATCTGGTTAAAATAACAGGAAGTAAAGTAAGAGAAGTAAATTATTTCAGCTAAAAAACTTTTTAAAAATTATTCAAAAACTTAAAACTTAAACATTTATTGGAGAAAGTTTGAGTTTCTCTTCTTTTTTATTTTACAGTGTTTTATATTTGCAGTTTATATCCAAATAAAGTTTTTTCCCAGCTGACGATCAATGAATCTCCAGATTGATTTATTGATTTATTGATTTATTGATTTATTGATGAACTGATGAACATTGTTAACCAGAACCTTTCCTGTGAGTGCTGATGGTCTCTGTGTATGTTTCAGGCGGGCTGTGCTCTCTGACCATCGGTAAAGCTCTGCCAGAGGATGAAGGACAGTATAAATGCAGAGCCGAGAACTCAGCAGGGAAAGCTGAATGTTCCTGTATGGTTCTCGTCGACGGTAAGAAATGTTCTTCATAAAGGTTATAGCTCCAGTGTGGAACATTAATATAATATTTATAGGTATGTTTACATTAGTGTTTAATCACCTGAAAATAAGAATTGTTGTGTTTTTGTTACCTCAGAATGAGATGTGTTCTTCTGGTGGAGTCCGCCATGTTTCTACAGTTAGATGTTACTAAATACTCACCGGTCCTTTAAAGTATCTAAAATTGTAAATAAAACTCATTTATTTCTGAAGAAAGTCACAAGCCTTGTTATTGCTGTATGTGGAGCTTCTGTATTAATAGAGAAACTCCATCTAAACTTATTAATAATATTATATTTTTAAAGTTTTCAGCTGTTGTTGACTTCAACCTTTAGTTTCACTTTCAGTCAGATGTTATTTGTTGAATTTCCTGCAGTGTGTAGAAAAGACATTTTCTTTCTTTGGACAATAAACAATCTGATATGACCCTCTCTCATTATGAGAGAAAGCAACTAAACTAATTATTTAGGTAAATAATGAAATATCCATCTTCTTAGTTTTTGTTTGTCTCAGCTTCTTCAGTCAAAACTATTATTATTATATTATTTATTCAATTGTTGCCAAACTTATATAAACATTCACAACCCCAAATATTTAATAGATTTCCTGTCAAATTAAGACAAACAAGCAGTGAACTGTAACTCCCTCACAAAACTCCCTTTAAAACATGAGGCACTTTAAGAGATGTTTGTATGAACATTAGATATTAGTAGTAAAACTGTATTCCTAATCATAATGATTTTGTCTTTAATTGTGTTAGTAAGTTACATTACATTTCTTTCAAGAAAAACTCATCTTCATAATTCTTTATGTTTATATTTGTAAACCAAACAAAAGGATCATCTAGAAACGGCACTGATGAACCTTTTTTGTTGTTAATGTTTACAACTGAGGTCATAAAGTAAGGAAACATACAAAACTCCCTTTAAAAATGTGGCACTTTAAGAGGTTTTGCTGTGAATTAATTATTAGATATTTAATGTGAAACTACATTTTAACACATTCTTAGTTGTCATCTTTTCTTTAATTCGGTTTATAATCTGGACATCAAGTGTTAATTTATTTCTATTAATATCCATCTTTATAATCCCGACACTGACTGCCTCGTTATCAAACTGAATACCTGCGTTTGTACGAAACTATAAACTACATCAGAACTTCGTGTAAAAACTATAAAAACTATAAAAACTGTTAATTTCAGCAGAGAAAAAGAAACAAAGATCCCTCCTCTTCCTCCTCCTCCTCCTCCTCCTCCTCATTTCCCAGGATTCCTCAGCAGTTTCCTGTAATTAGAGTAAATCAACACAAACGTTTATCTCACAGTTGATTCCTGGAAACATTCCTGAATGGACACATTCAGCTTCTGGAAACTTTATTAACAGTTTTGATATTTCACTGTTGATCAGAGCAGCATACTGAGAGGATCAATAAACACATTTTTATATTTTAATTAAAGAGATCAGAAAGATCAAAGTTTATTAAAATCTGTTAAATGAGCAGAAAAGTGAATGGAGTTTGGTTTATGTTGGTTTATTCAGTTTACTGTCTGATTGCTGTTAGCTGATCAATATATTTGTATTTACAGATAATTTACAATAAAACTCTTTACAGCCGTCGATATCTAAAAAAGCCTCATAGATTGATCCAGATTGTATGATAAGTTCAGTCGTATCGTGTTTATGTTAATTAAATAGTTGGTTTGTGTTTGTTCAGCCAGATAAATGACCTAAACTTACGTTGGTCCAGCAAGAATAAATAAATTCTAATTGATTCTGACTTTTGTTGTTTGTTTAAACTCAAAAATTAACTTAATTAAATCATATAAAATATTTCATGTGAATAGTTTATTTCTTTAAGGATTAAAACATTCAACTTAATTTACTTGAATCTTCACAACTGTAAAATTAGTTAAATCAACTTTTTAAAATTAAGTTGACAACAGAAAGCAGTTTAAACACATGGAAATATAGGATTTAATTAAGTTTATTCAATTAGTTTTGGGCTATCATTTCTACATTTGTCAGAAAAATACCCTGTAGGGTTGTTAAGGTGATAACTGCTGACCTTTGTCTTATTTTAAAGGTACAGAATCATAGCTGACAGAAAGGGAAACATGACTAAACAATTTATTCATTAAATCAAGTTTCTAATTGTCAGTGTAGCAGAGTGAAATTACTCCTAATTTTATTTACCGTAAAAGACACAGATAGACACAGGTCTCCAATAGAGGCCTGGTCTGGATTTTACAGAAATTATCTGGATGTATTAAACCTCTTAAAAGCGATTGGATCAGTTAGATTCTCCACAGTTCAATCCTTCATTTTAGTGAAACTATTAACATTAAAGTTTAATGTTCATTCATTCAGACTCACCGGCGCTGTAAAACAAGAGAGACCAGATCATAAAGTCCGTACGGGCCGTTCCTCCATTATTTATATTCCTTTAGTCCGTCAGGGTCCATCAGAACAAAGTGTTTCATTAAATTAATCCCAGTTGTGATTATTATAATGTGCAGTTTGTTACTCGCTGTCTGTTTACTGTCTGTACGCCGGCTGCCGTAAATCTTTAGCTGCCGTAAAACCACGTTCACGTTCAGTGTCATGGCGGTGGCACAGAGAAAAAAATATCACCTTAAATTTAACGTAAGTTACCTGTTAGTCGTCCATCAACTGAAGAGAAGCAAAAATTAGAGAGTATTTCCATCTGTGCTGAGTTTGTGCTGAAGGAGTAAAAGGCCTGTCCCTAATGAAGGCCTGTCCCTAATGACGGCCTGTCCCTAATGAAGGCCTGTCCCTAATAAAGGCTGGGGGGTTCAGTGATTGAAGCAAATAAACGCCTGGTTTTTCTGTATTTATTAAACTTTATTTTATGACGATGCCCTCCCTTATGGAGCCCCTGCGGAGTTGGGTAGTGCAGCCTGTTTGGTCCCCTGCAGTCTGCTGTGGGAAGTGCAGCTGTTTAACACTTGATTTACAGCATTCAGTTATTATGGAGAAATCAGTTCTAGCTGATCAATACAAGCTAAAGGTGTAAATGTTGGTACAGGTACTGTACCTTCAATTCTTACTGTGGGGAACCGACGATCAGCTCTAAAACTATTTCTGTTGCAAGCAAACTTTTTGTGAACTTTCTGTCTTCCATAAACTCTGTAATAATGTCTGGAGCCCTTTTATAATTATATTTAAAGATTATATTCTGTTTTGTTTTCTGATCTGTTGATACAAACACTTCAGTTATTAATCTTAAACTGCTGTCAGTTTAATTAAACTGTTCATTTTGTCTCTCTCTCTATCTGTCTGTCTCTCTCTGTATGTCTCTCTATCTGTCTCTCTCTCTGTCTGTCTCTCGCCCTCCTGCAGACCCGGCAGAAAACTCTCCGGCGGACAAGAAGTCCAAGAAGGCGACTCCGACCTCAGAGAGTGAGTTTCCAAAATATGCAGCAGCCTCGTTCCTTTTGTCCCAATATGGAGCTGCAGGCTGGGATCACTGGTTCCCACACACACACACACACACACACACACACACACACACACTGCTTTCTATTTTAAAGTGTGTGTGTATCATTGAAACTATCACTGTCAGATTATCAGAGCAGCTCTCTACTGAACATTAGGACCACGTTTCCCATCAGCCCTCAGTGAGTGAGTCAGGAACTGATTGTGATCTCAGTTCCAGGAAGCTCATACAGATTAATAAAGTATTTCATATTCAATTCAAAGAACTTTATTGACATGAACAAACACGCATTATCCAGAAAATGTAAATAAAACCTGATTCATCAGACCAGAACCACCTTCTTCCTTTGCTCCGGGTTCTGATGCTCACACTGTAGGTGGACAATGGACGGGGGTCAGTATGGACTCTCTGACAAAGTGAACTGGGGAACGGGTTTGTGGTTTAGGCTCACTGATGCAGGTGGGGAGTGACCAGGCTGGCCGTGTGGTCCGCTCCAACAGGACGCAGCTACCTGTACGCTCAAACTGCCGCTGAAACAGTCTAAATGCCTGGTTCTCTCTAGTCCTATCACTGTTAGTGCTGATCAATATATCAGTCTATATACTGTTAGTGCTGATCGCTGGATGACTTAATACAGTAATCAATATCATATATTGGTGTTATTTTATAAGGTCATCTGTTCTGTTCTGTCTCACTGCGGCAGTTTGACCCTAAAATAATCAGCTGTTTTTGTGATTTATTGTCAATAAATGGATCAATACGATGCTGAAATAACGACATCATGATGCTGATTTGTAGAAAGTCTGAATTCAGACTCTGACGAGCTTACAGCTGTTAAAAGGCTTGTTTTCTGAATGGAGTCTGGTTGATCAGGGCTGAAAATCAATTTCCTCTCTGCGTCCTAATGTCAGACAGACAGACAGTCAGTCAGACAGACAGACAGACAGACAGACAGTCAGACAGACAGTCAGTCAGACAGGAAGGTGAACGTGCATC